CAGGGAAATGCCAAGATGGCTCAACCGTGAAGGCTTGTCTGGGTGGCCCTCTGGAGTGAGGCTTACAGCAGCCTCAAACTTGGGCACTGACTCATTGAGATCGGTGAGGTCACCAAGCTGCTGGAAGCGAATCTGCAGGGAAATGCCAAGCTTGCTCAACCGTGAAGGCTTGTCTGGGTGGCCCTCTGGAGTGAGGTTGACAGCAGCCTCCAACTTGGACACTGACTCATTGAGATCGGTGAGGTCTCCAAGCCACTCAAAGCGAGTCTGCAGGGAATTGCCAAGATTGCTCAACCCTGAAGGCTTGGCTGGGTGACCCTCTGGAGTGAGGCTGGCAGCAGCCTCCAACTTGGACACTGACTCATTGATATCAGTGAGGTCTCCAAGCCGCTCAAAGCGATTCAGCAGGAAATTGCCAAGATTGGTCAATAGTGAAGGCTTGGCTGGGTGACCGTCTGGAGTGAGGCTGGCAGCAGCTTCCAACTTGGACACTGACTCATTGAGATTGGTGAGGTCACCAAGCCGCTCAAAGTGAGTCTGCAGGGACATGCCAAGATTGCTCAACAGTGAAGGCTTAGCTGAGTGGCCCTCTGGGGTGAGGCTGACAGCAGCCTCAAACTTGGACACTGACTCATTGAGATCAGTGAGGTCACCAAGCCACTTGAAGCGAGTCTGCAGGGAATTGCCAAGATTGTTCAACTGTGAAGGCTTGTCTGGGTGGCCCTCTGGAGTGAGGGTGACAGCAGCCTCCAACTTGGACACTGACTCATTGAGATCAGTGAGGTCACCAAGCCACTGGAACCGAGTGTGCATGGAAGTGCCAAGATTGTTCAGCTGTGAAGGCCTGTCTGGGTGGCCCTCTGGAGTGAGGCTGACAGCAGTCTCAAACTTGGATATTGACTCATTGAGATCGGTGAGGTCACCAAGCCGCTCAAAGCGAGTCCACAAGGAAGTCCCAAGATTGCTCAACAGTGAAGGCTTGTCTGGGTGGCCCTCTGGAGTGAGGCTGACAGCAGCCTCCAACTTGGACACTGACCCATTGAGATCGGTGAGGTTGCCAAGCAATGCAAAGCGAGTCCGCAGAGAACTGCCAAGATTGCTCAAGAGCGAAGGCTTATCTGGGTTGCCCTCTGGAGTGAGGCTGACAGCAGCCTCCAACTTGGACACTAACTCATTGAGATCACTGAGGTCACCACGCTGCTCAAAGCGAGTCTGCAGGGAAATACCAAGATTGCTCAACAGTGAAGGCTTGGCTGGGTGGACCTCTGGAGTGAGGCTGACAGCAGCCTCCAACGTGGAAACTAACTCATTGAGATCACTGAGGTTGCCAAGCTGCTTGAAGCGAGTCTGCAGGGAAATGCCAAGATTGTTCAACCATGAAGGCTTGTCTGGGTGGCCCTCTGGAGTGAGGGTGACAGCAGCCTCCAACTTGGACACTGACTCATTGAGATCAGTGAGGTCACCAAGCCACTGGAACCGTGTGTGCAGGGAAGTGCCAAGATTGTTCAGCTGTGAAGGCCTGTCTGGGTGGCCCTCTGGAGTGAGGTTGACAGCAGTCTCAAACTTGGACACTGACTCATTGAGATCAGTGAGGTTACCAAGCCGATCAAAGCGAGTCTGCAGGGAACTGCCAAGATTGCTCAACCATGAAGCCTTGTTTGGGTGGCCCTCTGGAGTGAGGCTAACTGCAGCCTCAAACTTGGACACTGACTCATTGAGATCAGTGAGGTCACCAAGCTGATCAAAGCGAGTCAGCAGAGAATTGCCAAGATCGCTCAACCATGAAGGCTTGTCTGGATGGCCCTCTGGAGTGAGGCTGACAGCAGCCTCCAACTTGGACACTGACTCATTGAGATCGGTGAGGTCGCCAAGCTGCTCAAAGCGAATCCCCAAGGAACTGCCAAGATTGCTCAACAGTGAAGGCTTGGCTGGGTGGCCCTCTGGAGTGAGGCTGGCAGCAGCCTCCAACTTGGACACTAACTCATTGAGATCACTGAGGTCACCAAGCTGCTTGAAGCGAGTCTGCAGGGAATTGCCAAGATTGCTCAACCATGAAGGCTTGTCTGGGGGGCCCTCTGGAGTGAGGCTCACAGCAGCCTCCAACTTGGACACTGACTCATTGAGATCAGTGAGGTCACCAAGCTGATCAAAGCGAGCCCACAGGGAAATGCCAAGATTGTTCAACCATGAAGGCTTGTCTGGGTGGCCCTCTGGAGTGAGGCTCACAGCAGCCTCAAACTTGGACACTGACTCATTGAGATCAGTGAGGTCTCCAAGCCGCTTAAAGCGAGTCAGCAGGGAATTGCCAAGATTGCTCAACAGTGAAGGCATGTCTGGGTGGCCCTCTGGAGTCATCCTGACAGCGGCTTCACAGAGGTCTGTGCCTTGGTTGATATCATCCAACCTGCCAAACTGTTCAAAGCAGCAATGAAGAGCCTTGCCAAGGTCTGACAAATACATGGCCGATGTAGGATCATCCCGCACTGCATCAGTGTAGGCACTGACTGCCTGGTTAAGGCCATCCACAGTTCCAACTTTGATGTAATACTTGAGACAAATGTCTCCGAGAACATTCAGGCATCTGGCACGGGTTTCATTGGTGTCAGAGAGCAGAAGGATCCTCTCATGCATCGTCCAAAGCTCCAGCGGGTCCACGGGACCTTGCATCTTCATGGATTGCAGATCATCACCAATTCCATGAGGCGTGACGGAGGTAACTATGGCAGTTCAGCAAATAGTTCAATAGGCTATAATGATATCTCACTTCGATTTTCCGCAATTTTGATGTCCGTCACAAAACCAGACAGTGGTGTGGAATAACCATCAGAAGCAGACACACCCGCCTTGAGCTCAAGCAGTGGGCCATCAGGATTTACTTTATTGAGCACGATTTCGAAAGCTACATTATGATTCTCAGTGACCAGGCCCATAGAAAAGGGGCCCACGTACGGCGATTCACTTGTACCAATCTAAGAACATCACCTGTCCCAATCTGGATAGAACCAAGAAGTCTTGTGCCGGTGTTTTTACCGTGGCGCAAGATTGCTACCAGGAAGACCGGTGTGTATAGCGAGCTGTACAGGGAATCAGTGTTGTGGCAGATGTCCGCTGGTGGAAAACCAAGAAAACCACTGGGAACTGACATCTTGCATCCAAAATCTAGTTTCCAACTGCTTTGAGAGGCCTCCAACTCCAATGGAACAGTTTGCAGGAAAATATGCCCGTTGACGATAAGTTGGGCGGACATTTGCATATCCGTGGGAAGATCGTCGTGGGGATTAGTCAGGGACCTGATTTGAATACCTGTGTGAGAGGATTGAGTGCTCGGGACAAAGGTGATGAGAGGATGATTACTGTGAAGGTGGATGCTAGTTGAGACAGTATGAATTAGCAGTTGCTCTCTGTGGCATCGGAGATGCTTACATTTTCGACATGGCTTTGGCGGTGTGGGATGGGGGCCGGGTTTGGGGGTGTGCATCTTATATAACAGGCGGCCACGCAGTATCGGCATGGGTCGTTTCCGGATCCCTGTGTGATGATGTGGAGATCTGCTCCAATAATAGGGGATCTGAAACGTGGATACCAGGAACCCAGCGCTTCGTTTGGCGCGTCTTGGGCGCTCACGGAAGCTGTCTGCCAATGACATCATGTTGTTAGCCACGTTGTGAACATTCAAGGGTCGGTGATCTATCCTCCTCCAGCTATTCATCACATACACGCTTGCTGGTCTTCATTCTGGTTCCCCGAAGCAGCAGAATCGCATGCCGGCTAAGTATATTTCTGTCAACAGCTCCTACTATCGGGGATATTCGGGAGCTAATGCAGAAGTCAGATGTTTCAAGAAGTACAACGATAGCTATCATGATATCCATTTTCTTCTCCCGCTCAGGCTGTGTCGGCAAAATATGTACCGCTTCATATCAGTTCCACAGTTAAAAGTAGGCTGTGGCGTGGAATTGCGCATACGTACGTATATTGAATGACATACCCCCGGAGTTCCGGAGCTCCGCTCTGCTACAGCCGAACATGTTCTGGTGGCCGGCCTGTCAATGCGCCATTGGATGCTTAAATTTGGTAGTACTGCCACTGCATTCTCCGGTTGAAAAGGCTTGCCATTCATGGCCATTGAAGACGGCTGGATAATCGCAATTAGAATGGCAGGAGGAGCGCACGAGGTTCGTGATACAAATTCAAGTCGTTTCTATCTTGAGCCCCACTCCCCGTGGTATGCGTTTCTAGTGCCATTTCCATCTCCCGAACTTATTCCAGTGAATGCAGCACTCAGCCGGGTGCTAACCTATTCGCCCCGCTACCGAGCTAGGTACGCCGTCGTGGATCTTGGCGACGCCGTCTTTCAATATCGTCATCATCACTATGCAAGAGGGAGACGGGGGTTCGGCTCCTCCCGGCGGCATGCATCGAGCGCTTGCCAGATTTTTTTTCCCTTCAACGCAATTACTGACTCACTTATTCACCTCACTAACTAGGTAAGTACGCCTGGCGGACCGTCGTGGATCATGGTGGTCGCCCGTATTCAATTGTCATGGTCAGATCTATTGCATGAGACGGGGGTTCGATTCCTCCCGATGGCATGGCCCAGCTCCTGCCAGATTTTTCCCTCAGGCACCTCTTAATCGATTCAGTTACTTATTCAACCCACTAGCTAAGGAAATCAGCCGTCGTGGTCCACGGAGGTCATCCTCACTCACTCATTTCATCAAGGCCAACATTGTTGTATGAGGGAGACGGAGGTTTGAATACTCCCGAGCTCGTAAGCCTTTTTGCCACCATCTCTCATTTGCGCACAAACTTATTCAACCCACTACCGAGCTCGATATTTTTGAACCAGGTTGGTCGCTCTCATTCACTACGCTTGCGGTATCATCGCATGAGGGAACCGAGGTTCGATTCTTTCCGGCGATGTGCCAGGCTCTTACCAGATTTTGTCTTTCAGGCATGTCTCTCATTTACTCCGTTCATCCCACTCGCTAAGTAAATAAGCCGCCGTGGACCACAGGGGTCGCCCTCACTTCATTGACAACCGCAGACGCTGCCAGAGGGAGCCGGAGGTTCGACTCCTCCCGGCGGCATGTTTTGAGAGGAAGTCAACTTTTTTCTTAAACGCATTTACTTGACGTCTTATTCACCGCACTAGCTAGGTAAGTACGCCGTCGTAGATCATCGCGATCCCGGACGGCATGTTCGCGCTCATAATTTCTTTTTGTCTTACATGCATTCACTTATTGAACCCGCAAGCTACTAGTAGGCAAATAAGCCGTCGTGGGCCATGGTGGTCGCCCTCATTTCATAGTGTTTCCAGAATCCAGTACAAGAGGGAGACGGGGGTTCGATTCCTCCCGACGGCATGGATGAAGATCCTGGGTTTTTGCCTACCCTCTCTAATCTGCGCACTAACTTATTCAGTCCACTAGCTAGGTAGGTACGCCGTCGTGGACCACGGTGGTCGCCCTCCGTCAATTGTCGGCGTCAAGAAAAGTACATGAGGGAGCCGGGGGTTCGACTCCTCCCGCAGGCATGTCTCAGGTCGTCCATTTTTACTCGGTAAATTATTCAACCCGCTACAGAGCGAGATAAGCCGTCGTGGACCATAGTGGTCGCCCTCCGTCGATACTGGAGATCTGTACGTCATCGCAAGAGGGACAAGGGGGTTCGATTCCTCTCGACGGCATGTGGGAGTTCCATAGCTCCTCTTTTTTTTATGCGGCTGGAAGCTTATAGGGCCTGTGAGCTTATGTAGAAGCTCTAGTCGGCGAGAAAATTCTGATTATGGAGGGCGGCCGCCCTCATATAATGAAAATTAACAACTCGAAGTTGCACGAGGGAGGTGGATGTTCGACTCCTCTCGATGGCATCACTTCGGCGTATGGAGGTTTTTACCTGTTGCTTCTGCAAGCTTGCACACGCACTTATCAACTGTGTTAAGTAGCTTTATTTGTGTGTGCAGATGAGCCGCCGTGGATCATGGCGATCGCCCTTGCTCACATGGGTTGTAATAGAGATTGCAGGAGGGAGGCCGAGGTTCGATTCCTTGTGGCGGCATTGGTGAGGTCGATATTTTTTCTTCTTCTTCCCATTTCCCGAAACGGGTTGTGTTCGCGCTGAGGAGTATAGAAAGAGCTCGCTCGAACTCCAACTGCACAACGAGATAGGTTATCAGTCCTCCAATTAAACGTCTCATTAAAATTACACGGAGATACTGCACAACATACATGTTCCAGCAACAATTAAAACGAGCGGCAGCGTACTTGACGCACAGATAAGTCCAAGCCCGAGATCGATGCGAGTCCAAGCTCAGTTTTAGTCCGTTCACGCGCACACCTCATAACAAGGAAGCGCCCCATGAATATGTACGGAACCCCAAAGAAGGAACCGCTCACACGCCGCCCATCATGCGCCGCCCCGCCTCCACGCGCGCGGGGTCGCGCCGCATCTTCCCGCTGAGGACGTTCGCCTCGCCGCGCAGCGTGCGCAGGAGTGACGCGCGGCGCTTCAGCGGCGCCTCCGCCTCGGACTGCGCCATCGGGGTGAACTGGTACGTCGGCGGCGTGTCGAGGCTCGTGCGCGCGGACTTCGCTGTCGGCGCTCGCGCAGGGGGTGGCCTTGGCGAACGCCGAGGGCGGGGCGGGCTCGATGCCTTGGAGCCCGAGGGGATTTTACGGATGCGGGCGAGAAGGGCGGGGTGGTCATCGTACTCGCGGTGGAGGGTGAGCTGACGGAGCCAGAGCCGGAGGAGCTTGAGGCCGAGGGGAGGCGGCGTGCATGGAAGGAATGGGCGAGGCTCCCGGGGAAGAGGTGGCTACAGTTGGATGGGCGGGCACGAGCGCTGAGACGAATGGCGCGACGCTCGGGAGGGGAACTACCCCGGGGTCGAAGAGCTGCGTGCGACGGTGCTTCTCTGCGGGGGGCGAGGGCGGAGCGGCGGAGGTTGCGCCGGTGGAGGCGTCGAAGAACGAGTGTGAATGCTCACCCGACGTGGAAGGGCCCCCGGTGTGGAGGCCGAGTGGACTGCACGGGCGTGAGCGTGCCGCGCACCGCGTACGCGCGCGTGCTAAAATCGCTCGTCGCGCTGCCGTCTATGTTCATCGGATATTGCGTGCGCACGCTGAGGTTCCCGTTGTCGTCACACTCGGAGGTGGGCGTCGTTGCTTCAGTTGGAGCCGTGAAATAGAGATGGTGCATTGAGATGGGCGCCATGGTTTTCGAGTGACCTCCAGTGCGCCAGTAACCCTCCGAGCTCGCGGTAGGTTAAGGCGGTGATTTTGTGTTCTGTACAAGTTCTGCATAAACCGAGTCGGAGACGCAAAGGGCTCGCCTCCGAGTCGGATGATTCCGGAGATCACTCATCACTGATCCGTCACGCAAAGCTACGTCACTCTCACACACTTTGTCCTCAACCGCCATGTCAAGAACTTCCAAGGCCGCCGTCGAGAACGAACTATTTGCCTGCACATGGTCGGAAGTTAGATGCTGAGATTTGGAGTGCCGTTGCATTCGCCGGATGAAGAGGCTTGCCACTCATGGGCCTTTGAAGACGGTTCGATTGAAGCTAGTGGCAGGGGAGGAGCGCAGGAGGCATTGACCACGGCGGAACAAGTACTCGCCAACTCCAGGACGGCCGGCTCGATTCCTTCCTGACATTCTGTGCTACCAATATCTTTTTCTACCCGCTACTCCGCTTATCTCCAAGGTCGCACACGGCTGAAGAACACCCGTCGTGGACCATTGCGGTCGTCTTCACCGATTGGCATCCTGCGCTCTTGAGACTTCTGACTTCCAATCTCCCATTTACTCGCTCACTTATTCGCCCCACTACCGAGCTAAGTTGGTAGGCCGTCGTGGATCATGGCGATCGCCGTCTTTCAATTCATGGATATGGTCGCCCTATGCAAGACAGAGACGGGGGTTCGACTCCCCCCGACGGCATGAAGCGAGGTCTTGACTTTTTTTGCCTCAGGCGCCTCTCTAATCTGCGCACTAACCTACTCAACCCGCTAGCTAGCCAAATACGCCGTCGTGGACCACGGAAGTCGCCCTCCGTCAATTGTCCGTGTCAAGCGAATTACATGAGGGAGACGGAGGTTCGACTCCTCCCGAGGGCATGTCTCAGGTCGTCCATTTTTACCTTCCGCCTTTAATTTACGCGCTAAATTATTTAACCCGCTAGCTAGGCAAATACGCCGTCGTGGACCATGGTGGTCGCCCGTATTCAATCATCGCGGTCGAATTCTATTGCATGAGGGAGCCGGAGGTTCGATTCCTCCCGGCAGCATATGAGAATTCATGATGTATTCTTTTTTTTTTTTGCATCAACCCCTCATTTAATCACTCGCTTATTTGAGCCGTTAACTGGGGAGATATGGCGTCTCATTCAATGCAGCCAGCACGAAGCTGCAAGGGGAATACATCAGGGAGCTCAGGTATTTTTTGCCTTCCACTTTTAATTTACACACTAACTTATTCAGCCCACTACCCAGAGAGATAAGCCGTCGTGGACCACGGAGGTCGCCTTCACATTCATTAAAGACGACAGATACTGCCAGAGGGAGCCGGAGGTTCGACTCCTCCCGGCGGCATGTTTACGTCTCTTCAGTTTTTGCCTGCCCTCTCTAATTTACGCACTAACTTATTCCGTTCACCAGGGAGGCAAGGAAGCCATCGTGGACCATGGTGGTCGCCCTCTTCCAATATCTGGGCCCCTCGGATAATGCAAGAGGGAGACGGGGGTTCGATTCCCTCCGACGGCATGTACGTTTCGCGCTAGCATTTTTTTTGTTTGGCCCGCAAGATTTTACCGAAACTCGAGTGGAAAATTTTTGTTGTGGGCCGTAGTCACCCTCATGCATCAAGCCGCATAGTCCGGCGTGAAAGGGAACCCCAGATCAACTGCCAACTTGCTGCCCGCGACATTCATAATTCCTCTACTCTTGAAATCTCGCCTTCCGTCCTCTAATTTACACACCCATTTATGAACTGAGTTGGGTATGCAGATGAGCCGCCGTGGATCATGGTGATCGCCCTTGCTCACGCGCCGCCCCGCCTCCACGCGCGCGGGGTCGCGCCGCATCTTCCCGCTGAGCACCTTCGCTTGGCCGCGCAGCGTGCGCAGGAGCGACGCGCGGCGCTTCCGCGTTGGACTGCGTCATTTGGGGTAAACTACTACGTCGGCGGCGCGTCGGGGCTCGCGCGCGCGGACTTTGCGAACGCGGACGCAGGTGCGGAGGGGTTGTCGGGGGTGGACTTGGCGAAGGCCGACGGCGGTGCGGGCCCCTTGGACGGCGGGCTCGCCGCCTTGGACTCGGGGCCGGCGGAGGGAGACTCAGCGCGCGAAGCCCGAGGGGATTTTGCGGACGCGGGCGAGGACGGCGAGGAGGGTGGGGTGGTCATTGGGCTCGCGTCGGAGGGCGAGCTGGTGGAAACAGAGCCGGAGAAGCTTCAGGCTGAGGGGGAGGCGGCGTGCGCGGGGGGAGAGGTGGCCACAGTTAGATGGGCGGGCACGAGCGCTGAGACGAGGGCGCGATGCTCGGGAGGGGCACGACACCGGGGTTGATGAGCTGCGTACGGCGGTGCTCCTCCGCGGGGGACGAGGGCGGCGGAGCGGAGGTTGCGCCGGTGGAGGCGTCCGACAACGGGTGTTGCCTCACCCGAGCACCCCCGGCGTGGAATTGGAGTGAAAATCGGACGACATGGACATGAGCGTGCCGCGCGAGAAGCCCGAGCCCGCGTGCGCGCGCATACTCAAGTCGCTGGTGGCGCTGCCGTTTGTGTTCATCAGGTATATATGCGAAGATTCCACTGGCAATTGTCGTCGGACATGGGCGTCGATTTGGTGTCCTTTCTTCAGTTAGAGCTGTGAAATAGAGATGGTGGATTGAGAATGGGCACCATGGTTTCGGGTGACCTCCAGCATGCCAGCCAACGCGGAGGCGCAAAAGGCTTGACTCGCACCTGGTGATCACGCTTCTGTCACCCTCCTTCCTTTTCGCCACCATGCTAACTCTGCGCCGTATGCCATTCCGTCCTCAAATCTTGCACTTTCGCCATTCTCAGTGGTGCTTAATCCTTCTCCGAGTGTTCCTTTGCTCACATTTGACTTTACCGCAGAATAATCAGCTCTCTGTCTACCGTGTCGCAGACCAGCACATCGGCCCAGCCTGCGGATAAGGTATGTAGGCTTCAAGCAGAAATAAATGATACTCCTGGCCTAATCTTCCTCCAAGAAGAAGACTCGCCGCGAAAGGGAGCGTTTCGCTGAGCTTTACCGTACCAAACTCGACCTCCACCCCTTTTCGTGCGACTGGGAGAAATGGCAGCATCAAATCTTTCTTGACGTCCATCCGATGTGGTA